TCTTTCCAAAGGCTTCTGATGACAGATAAGGAAATCATTTCATGTTGTTTAAAATCTTTATTTAATATTTGTTTAAAAACAAACTTTTTGAAACATTAATTACATAAAACTAATGGTATGGTTTAACATTTGAATTCTTATTATTATTATATTGAAGAACTTAATAGCAGTCTATGTTTTCTGTCTTCAGAGTAGTCAGTTAATTTCATCTTTCCTCTCCATGCCTATTTGAATATATTGTACATCATGTTGAATACCTTCATATACTGACCTATGTTGTTAGGTTAAACCCATTTGGGAATACTGTCACCATATATGAGATAGGATTAAAACCAATATCAAAGGACATTATCCACGGAATGGTTTTAAACCTATATCAAAGGACAATATCCATGGAATGGGTTTAAACCAATATCATACGACAATATCCACGGAATGGGTTTAAACCACCATCATAGGAAAATATCCCCAGAATTGATTTTAAACCATCAAATCATCTTACTGCCTTATGCCATGCACCAGCTCCTCTCTGAGTCTCTCACCATCTCACCTGCACCCTCTCGCCCCGCACCCTCTCACCCCACACCATCACATCCTGCACCCTCTAACCCTGCACCTTCCCATCATCTCACCTGCACCCTCTCGCCCCGCACCCTCTCACCCCACACCATCACATCCTGCACCCTCTAACCCTGCACCTTCCCATCATCTCACCTGCACCCTCTCGCCCCGCACCCTCTCACCCCACACCATCACATCCTGCACCCTCTAACCCCGCACCTTCTCACCTTGCACCTTCCCACCCAGCACCCTCTCACCCCGCAAACGTGCACCTTCCTATCATCTCACCCCACACCCTCTCACCCCACACCCTCTCACCCCGCACCCTCTCACCCCACACCCTCTCACCCCGCACCCTCTCACTCACACCCTCTCACCCCACACCCTCTCACCCCGCACCCTCTCACCCCACACCCTCTCACCCCGCACCCTCTGACCCCGCACCCTCTGACCCCGCACCCTCTCACCCTGCACCCTCTCACCCCGCACCCTCTCACCCCACACCCCGCACCCTCTCACCCCGCACCCTCTCACCCCGCACCCTCTCACCCCGCACCCTCTCACCCCACACCCTCTCACCCCACACCCTCTCACCCCACACCCTCTCACCTTGCACCTTCCCACCCCGCACCTTCTCACCCCGACACTCTCACCTCAGCTGCCAGACAGACACAACATATGCTGACATGCTGACAGATACATACAGAACCGTGTCATGACACTCTATATACAGTTCAAAACTATGTCCTGCACCATGTGCCATTACAGAGATAACTGGCAACCCCACATTAGTCATACGACATTCTCCTACAGATTTATGTTTACACAAGGACATACAGATTGCACAATAATGATAATGAGTTGGTTTTAAAGCCACGTTTAACAGTATTCCAGTCATGGAATGTCAGCTTAATGTCAGAGGAAAGCCAGAAATGATACAGGTCTCAGACGTTTGCCACTTTGGTGAAACTCACAAGCATGGGTATGAAGCTGACAAACCAGTAAAACATAATCAGGGTGAACCGGGATTTGAAGCCACAAGAATAGGTTTCTGGCGTGCCCAAGGGACAGAACTGTGCACAGCAATTTGCTGCACCCTAGACAATTGAACCTACCGTGCCCCACTTAAAAATGATAAAGGATACTAAACGATTTTTTAAATAGTCTTCAACGTCACAACGTGTTATCAGTGTGCTAAGATGGACGCAGCTCCCATACTTTAACATTCAGTTACGATACTTGTAGCGCTTAGATCGCTTTGGTGATGACAATGTGACCACCTGAATCTGCAGTGTGTCACTGTACCCGATGTGGATTGATGCTCATGCTGTCTGGATCAGATGTGAATATTTAGAGGGCATGAAGCATAAATTACTTCTACCAACTCACTTCAAAAGACTGCATCTTTCAGCAACAACAACAAATATTTCAAAGAATAATCACTGATTAAATCCTTTTCATATTCCACATTGTACAGAATCTCCTTTGATCACAACACCTACAGCTTGCTTTGTTATCAAGGGCTACTCCGTTGTTGAGTATCTGGTCTGGGCGTGTCTCATGTGTCCATAATGAAAGAGTATAGAAATGAGTCTTCAATGGTTGTCATTCATAACTTCCTGGAAGTAACACCTGTCAATAATCAAGTCAATTTCAAATCAATATTGTCAATCATTCTTTACACTCTAACTCATTTGCACTAATGCTTGAATTGTCTGTAACATAAACATCACTATCGTAGGTTCAATACAATATCAGCACTCATGAAACAGAACCCAAGATTCGTCAAAACCTGCTGATATCAAGTTCAATAATAATTTTGTGATCAAGGACATTGTTGTCATCAATCATATCGGACAAGGTGACTGGCTTTATTACATCACTGTGAAGTCACCACATGCCTGGTTATACTGGGACTTTATATCTGGCTGCTCGAACACAGATTTGTCACTGATTTGTCACAAACATTGAAGTCACTGGTTTTCGTAGTTCCCATTTATCTATACCCAGGTATCTATACTCTATACTAACATATCTACACCCATGTATATATACCCAGGTATCTATACTCTATACTAACATATCTATACCCATGTATACCGTATTCGACGTAATAAGCGCCCCGCTCTAATAAGCGCCCAGGGCGATATTCGCTAATATATTGGCTTCTGAACAATACCAGTTAGCGCGCCTTCCGATTGATCAATGTACACAAGACTTATTTATTCGCGTATAATACACACTCGTGTGTTATATGTAACCTTAATTATGGGCAATTAAATTCTGGAAAAATATATCTGTTGTACATGAATATTTCAGGCTGTCAGCATAAACCATGAAATTTATCTTTCAACTCAGTTATTTTTCACCAAAATAATATTCTAATAAGAGCCCCCTATTTTTAATTTTGAGAGCGCCCTGGGCGCTTATTACGTCGAATACGGTATATACCCAGGTATCTATACCAATACAGTAATCATCCAAACCTCACAACCAAATCAAGCATCGTCATGGTCCTCCAGACGTCCACCACCACTACTGCCAAACCCTGGTCACAACTACAGCTTCGGCCATGATCCCCACATTCCCAATGTTCCCCCCGGAGGACCACAAGTATTATCTGCTGAGCTTCACTTACTGAGGCTAATGGTCTGTCACAGTCCCCAAAACCAGATTTTCCTTCCACCAGTTCCTTACTGTAATGCTATAGCCCTAAATAAAGTAAGTTAAGATTGTCCAAATTTTTTGGTTCCGAATCTCCCATCTCAATGAGGCACCTTTTCAATTTACATGTAGCAGTTTGGTTCTATCAAACTATATATTTTCAGAGAGTAAGCATTAGCCACCTTTTCAAGTCATCACCTTCTCGGTTGGCAGTTTTAGTGCAGCCACTAGCTGAGTGGTCCCTAAATAAGACATCAAGGTACATTCCACACCGACCTGCTCCAACACTGCTGGTAGATCCCCTTGCAGGCCACTGACATGTACAGCTCCTTATCACTGCTTAAACATGTGTTCATTACCGTGAGTAATTTGTACATTTCCTTAACAACAGTACCATGTGGAGTCTGACTGATGGACAGCTGGCATCAATTTCACATCAATGATAACACAAAGTTTCTATTCTGCAGTTACAGGCATGTCCTTTTGATCTCTAATGGTTTTGTTCTTGGTTGAATTTTGTTTGGTGTTTTTGTTCGTTTCTTTACCTGTGTACCATGTTCAGTTCCTTTGAAATTACCTCTCTGTGATCTCACAACTCCTCAGCAAAGTCTGATGTACTTAGGCTGCCATAAAGCATTCAATTTTTTTCAGATTTGCACACTGTGTGCTGTCAACATGATATTGCACTTAAGAGAGTGAGTGAGTGAGTTTGATCTAACACCTCTTTGTAGAGTATTTCAGCTATATCATGGAGTGTCAGCTTCGTGTAGTTCTAAGATGTCTACCACCTTGATGAATGAGTGAGTGAGTATGGTTTTACGCCGCTTTTAGCAATATTCCAGAAATATCACGGCGGGGGACACCAGAAATGGGCTTCACACATTGTACCCATGTCGGGAATCGAACCCGGGTCTTCGGCGTGACGAGCGAACGCTTTAACCACTAGGCTACCCGACCGCCCCACCACCTTGATGAAATCCACAAGCTTGAATATGGTGCTGACGAACATAGAAACATCGTACAGGGAATCTGTGATTCAATCCCACAATCCTAGGCTCCTGGCACACCTCAGGGAGGCAACTCTGCCCAGAGAATAGGTACCTTAGACCCTGGTCCCTAGACTTGCATAAGTCTCTAAGGCAATAATTATGAGTTTAAATCTTCATTGCTAGATTATATAAATAATAAGAACATGTTGTCCCTATTAAAGATGACATCCTTACTGACTGCTTATCTAGACTTGCCTATTATAAGGATAGAATTACCACACCCATGGACTTGCCATTCAGCGCAGCCTTGGAGCAAGGCTACATGGTCCCCACATTACACTTAAGGGGATACATGACCAGTTGAGAATGTTATACCCAAAACAATATAATTTGTCATGATATAGCTAAGTAAATAACATAAACATAGTCAACATAATCAAAATATTATTATAATGCCATCATCATCATCCTCTTCATCATCATCCTCATCACCATTGCCATTGACATCACCATCATCATCATCATCATCTTTCAATAATGAACTATATCATTATCTCTGACATCATAAAGAGATTATATTTAAACAATTCCATATACACTGGTAACATCTCAACTATCAAGCAAACTAGCAACAGAAATAAATCCCATTTTTGAAAGTCAATACCAAGTTACAATTCCCTGCATCCATTTGGTTTACCTGCTCTTACAAACACTCCATTATTTGATCGTATAAAATCCCCAATGAGAAATGGTACATCCGTACTCACACCAAGCTTCATCACTTACCCATCAACAGCTCAGTCTCAGCAGTATAGATAGAAATAGTTCCAAACTTTGTCCCTCCAAGAAAAGGAAAACCCATCAGCCCGTCCAGGGAAAAAGGGCCAAAGAATCTGTAGAATTGGTTGCCTGGAGAATATTGTGTTATAAGACGAGACTTGAGGAAAAACTGAATCAGGCTACCGGCATCCTATCTTGCCTGCAGCTAGGTGAGACTCAACATTAGATCTGGTGATTGACAATGTGCCTTGCCTAGACTTGCCCCAGTCACCTTGGAGCTATTTTCAGCATGTTTATATTTTTAGCGTGTTCAGTGCATGCTGGAAATATTTTCGAGCAGAAATTGACTTGAATTAACTGAACTCCCTGTAAGCAGACAACGTGTGTCGCCTAGACTTGCTCCAGTCTCCTTGTATTTATTAACACTGTTTATATATGGGGTATAAGTTGGAATTACATTAAATATTTACAAACAAAACTTTGGTAGTCCAGTAACCTCAGATTATTGACTGTTCATATACAAAAATGACATAAACTCAACAACTTATTAATATAATAACGTATAACCAGCATCATTATTCAAATCCATTTTCTATCATTTCAAACCCCATATAACCTTCCACTGGTGCATGTAAAGATGGCACAGAGTTTTAAGGTTAAAAGGTTAAAACAGTCCAATACAAATACTGATTTATTGAAAGTATCAAGCTCAGTTACTGCCACATATCTTTCATTTAACTCACTCACTCTCATCATCAGTCATCATGATAAGAACAAAAACAGTTAGAAATACTTCCAGATGATATTGGACTTCACTAAGCAGCTCAGACACAACTAAATTTGTAGTGATTTAAAAAGTCTGTCATTAACATTTTTGCTTAATTTTGTCCCATGCCAGGAAGTCATTAAAATCAACCCATGGTAAGGAAGTCATTTATCACAGTTCCAGAAACGATTCTTTGGTTGGAAGCAGAAATCTACCAATCATGACTGGAATTAGTTTTACACCCCAACTGGTAGTGCACGTCACAGTGAGATACGGGGGACAAGGCTAAGTGTTACACCATGACTATTCATAATGGAACCCAACACTGGACGAGCAAACTCCTAACCCACTACCCTACCATCTTAATCCAACTCCTTCTCAATGTGAAAACAACTAATTCACGATCTGTAAACAAACTGCTTCAGAAATCAAACAGCCTCCAGAAAACAGAATTCCAACAGGAATATATTCATGATTTTCAAATTAGTGTCCGTGGCAGTCAATTTGAGGACAAGAGCGAATTTTGCCAGAAAAAAAAATATGAGTTTGAAAGTTTGAAAATTATTTTAGTAGTGCACTCAATGTAATTTATTGAAAAATGTAACTTCAAAATCTATTCTGACCTGTTATTGTGACACAAAAGCATCATCACCATCATCATAATTATGATTATAATAATAATAATAACTTTGATAAACTTAATAACCTAAATTAGGAATTCTTTATTCCAAACTTGGAATATTCTGTCATTTCCCCAGACCTGGAGCTGAATATCTACTTCAGAGAAAACCTCGATCAATCTCTGTCCGAAGTGCAGAGTAAGGGCACCAATGATGCTGGCACCAGGTCAAAGAAATAAGTCTGTTGAACGTTGCTCCCCATCTTCCAGAAGGCCATTGCCCTGGTTTGAAGAGCCCCCTGATGACTCTTGTTGTGTAAACACGTGAACTATGAGGTACACACCTCACCAGATAGCCAAAGACATCCTGCGGCTAACAGCATGACTATCTCAACATTGGTGCCTTCCCCTCGAATCTATGTCCATGGATAGCAATCTCTGAAACTCAATAGCAAGGCCGCATACTGAATGCCCCAGTGAGCTGTTTTCCCCTGATGGAACATACATTCACAAAACACAGGAGAGGGTTTCAAGTGTCCTTTGAATGTAGGATGCATGGTCTGTCAAAGACAACAGGTCAACAAAATGCTGTTGAAATACAAACTGCCTATGTAGCTAAACACCACTGGTCATCTATTAAGTGATGCAAACATCCTATGTAGCTAAATACCACAGGTCATCTACTAAATGATGCAAACATCCTCTGTAGCTAAACACCACAGGTCATCTACTAAATGATGCAAACATCCTATGTAGCTAAATACCACAGGTCATCTACTAAATGATGCAAACATCCTATGTAGCTAAACACCACAGGTCATCTACTAAATGATGCAAACATCCTCTGTAGCTAAATACCACAGGTCATCTACTAAATGATGCAAACATCCTCTGTAGCTAAATACCACAGGTCATCTACTAAATGATGCAAACATCCTCTGTAGCTAAATACCACAGGTCATCTACTAAATGATGCAAACATCCTCTGTAGCTAAACACCACAGGTCATCTACTAAATGATGCAAACATCCTATGTAGCTAAACACCACAGGTCATCTACTAAATGATGCAAACATCCTATGTAGCTAAACGCCACAGGTCATCTACTAAATGATGCAAACATCCTATGTAGCTAAACACCACAGGTCATCTACTAAATGATGAAAAACATCCTATGTAGCTAAATACCACAGGTCATCTACTAAATGTTTCAAACATCCTATGTAGCTAAACGCCACAGGTCATCTACTAAATGATGCACACATCCTATGTAGCTTAATACCACAGGTCATCTACTAAGTCCACAATAAAGCCAAAAGGTAATAAATAAGTCATGGCGATGCTCATAAAACTAACTAAACGTCATAATAACTACTGGTACTTTAAGTTTTTGTATGGCATTTAGAAGTTACACACATGAGAGAAAATTTATGGATATTAACCTCTGTATGATGAAGAGTTGACATCTATAAAGTTCTCCCTCTCCCTACTGGTATATAAACATGTACATGATTTTTCATAATCTGCAGTTTATTTCCCCAGTGTTACATGTTCTAGTTATTATCTACCAATAGTTATCAAAATCATACAGAGGTCGAAATAAACAGATTTATCTGATCATTGATCTCTTTCTTCTGATCATTGATCTCTTCTCTCGTTCATGCATTCCCCTCCTCCCATCTCCCCTCCTCCCACCCCAGGGTTCTCCACTGGTTATCAATGCCATCAACCCCAAGGCTGACGGTTACACTTGATTTTTGTTCTGTCCCTAGAGTACCTTCAAAGGCGCCTAAATTGAATCAACCTACCATCCTCAATTGAATATATTAATACCTATCTACTTCAAGCAAATCTCGCTTCGAGTGCATGCACCTGCTTGTGTGTCTTCTTCAGTGTCTTTTTACTTGACTTAATAAAAGAGCTGATTCATCAAATTTTGAGGAAAACAGTCAAGAATCCTTTTCAAAGATATTTTGAAGATGTGTGCATTACTGACACAAAACCAATGTGAACAAAACTTATTCGATAAGGTATGGATGATTTATCAAAGCTTGAATATTAATTAGTAATCTTAAAGGAAAGTGTTACCATGGTTACCATGGTATTGACATTTACGGATCACCTGTATAGTTAAATGGAATCATGGAATTTCAGTTTTCAAATAAATAAAAGGGACAAACCTTTATATACATAAGAAATCTCTGACAAAACCAGTGTACATTAACTTGTAGTCTTGATAAAGTGAAAAAGTTAATGTTACATTTAAATAAACTAATCAACAGGAGATATTAACTGAAAAGTTTAACTGATTTCGAAATTAAGTCGATATATAGATAATACTTGAATCCAGATTTTGTGAGATCGTGATCCGCTATATTTAGAACAGGAACTGACGAAGTTACCTCCCATACTGGCGAAAGTAGCATGGCAGAACACTAAGACGTGGTGGTAATTGTGGATGTGCCCACATTTAACAACCATCCCTTCATTTAAAAGAACTGTTTTCTGTTCTTGTTTTTTAGTGAATTTTTTAAAAAAAGTTTTAAGACAATAAATAAATAAATATTTGATGCAAAAGCTTTAAGTTGTATTTCGTCAATCTTGAAATTTCTTACTATTTGTGTATCGTGAAAACAGTTGTATCGTCAGTCTGTATTGTGATACGTATCGCATCGCAAGATGTCAGGAGACACTCAGCTGTAACATTTACAGTATACAATAATGTATGCATAAAATAATTAAAATGAATTTAATATCTTTATTACATAGACTGATCATACTCTCAGTGCTTGGAATTTAAACTTAACATACACCATCCTGCTAAGAATGTGCATAGATACATGGACTTAATTTCCATTATGAAACAGCCATCACAATTATGATCATAATTTAACATACAGAAATTAATGCATATAAGGCTTACATAATTTAGCAATTAACACACTGACTATCTTCTGTTTAACAAAAACACATGTTTTCCTTTGATGTTTAGACCACAGGCTATGATGCTAGACATCACACAGAATGCCAACCCAAGACTGACCTTGACCTTATTGCCATGATATTCATTCCATTCTATGTCTACACAATGAACAGAAATGCTAATATGGTTCCTCTCATTGTACAGTTATATCACTTGCAAACCATCACTCTAAACGCTGCCGCATAATTTGACATAAATGTCAGTTGTTAAAAAGGCTACAGATTATTCCTATGTCTAATGAAGCCTTAATTCACCAATGAAACAAGCAAGCATAAATCTTGCACATTGTGGGGAAATTTCCATACAACCATTAGTCCCCCTGCTAATAATTTCCCCGTATTCCTATCACATTTACAGAAATGGGAATACAATGTGCTCCATTGAAGTCTCGAAACTCCCACTGCCATGTGTTCAACCGTAATACTGCCAGCAAACTGGAATGACATGGGAACATATTGTCAGTTTCAGAAGTGATAACACTAGTAGTATATTCAGTGACCTTTACAGACCCTGACACTATTTCCCTAGCTGCATGTAGAACTCTCCTGGATATTTGGCATAACGAAAAGTGTTGGTGATAATTAATGATTTATGCAATAAGAGAAGAATGGGAAGATATTTTGGTGAAATTTATATTTAAAACTTATCGACTATCATCTTAGTGTTGTCAGCAAATATTAGTAGAGGGACGATACACCGACAAATCGGGTGATCACAATTTGTTACTTCTCAATATAAGTATCGA